TACTATGGTGCATTGAAAAACAAAGAACTCATGCAGTATTATTCAAAATGGGTGACCTTGGAGGACATTATGCTGAATGCAATACCTCAGCACAAAAGGACAAATACTGCATAGTGCCACTGTTGTAGAACAGGACTGACATTAGGGTTGGGGTGGGACTGAGAAAAATTGGATAAATTATGTATACTGTATTGAAAAATTATGTATACTGTATTGAAACAGATGAGGGCGAGAACTGTTTAAAAGCGATATATGATTGGGTGTTATGGTTAAGACAAAGAGTCCAGAATGAAGGCTGCATAGTTGAGAGTACTCGGAGGAGGTGTGGGGGGATTGTATACCAATGAAATAATTTTTCTTTTACTTTTCAAAGAGCGAACTGGGGGGACGTGGTGGGCAGGGAGAAAAATGCAACAATGAAGGAATGTAAATCCACAATCTCTGTAAACATTCATTAAAATGAATAAAATTGAAAAACTTTTTTAAAAAGGGATCGATGTTTTTGAGCTGTGGTGCTGGAGAGGAGCACTGAACATATTGTGGATAGCCAAGAGTACAAACAGGTCTGTTTTGGAGATAGTGAAACCGAGTTGCTTCTTTGAGGCAAGGGTTTTGAAACTCCATTTCACATACTTTTGGCATTTAGCCCAGAGGGACCAGTACTTGGAGAAGAACATCATGCTTAAAAGGGTAGAGGGACAGTGCAGGGGAGGAAGACTCCAGATGAGATGGATTGACACAGTAATCTGGATAATGGGGGTAGGTGTGTCGGAGACAGTGAGAGTGGCTCAGGGTGATGTTGCTATGAGTCGCAGTTGACTTGATGGCACATAACAACAACATGCAAGGATGTACTAAGCATGTGATGATAGTATGTGGCATTAGGTGATGAAAGTCTAATAACAGCAAGTACGGAAAACGGAATAGGAGATAAGGGGACTGGTTAGAAGTTATAAAAAGGAGTGTGGTTTCAAGGCTCCACGGAAACTGATGACTTCAAGGCTAAAAAACAGGCCCCAGAAGCACCGTCACAATTAGAAGTGTTCCACCAAACTGGGAAATAGAAAACATTTTTATTTCACTATTTTATTCATCTAGATTAATAATCTCATTCTCTGATAACAAAAAGGATATGAGGGAGTGCAGGAAGATACTGCTCACCCCAAACTAGTTGTTTAGCCTTTTTTGTTATGGTAAAACAAGTAAGGTTCAATTGATTCAGTGATGCAGAATACCAAAACTTCAGTCTTTAGTTATTCTCAATAAACACAATCATCAAAAGCCTTAGTTTAAGGATGGCTTCATATTCTCTGACTTCTAACCTCAGCTACCCTTTCCCTAAAACTCTATTCTTTCTCAGACAGTGCAATTTCTCCTACCAGCTACTTAGTTCATTGCCTTTTGCTCCCTTCCACCGCCAATCTTTCTGTCTGAAACCTTCTAAACACCAAACACCTGTCTGATTGCCTCGGGTTCCTTCTTTAGAACAGCATCTCTGAAGAGAGTTTGTTCTTAGACCAAAGAACAATTAAGGCCATTAATATTTTGTGCACTTTCCCTTTCACTTCCTCTCAGTTTTTAACTGATCTGTTAGCACAGTGATATAGGGCAAGGTTACTTATCAGAGACAGAAGTTGCCAGATAATAAAAAGATCCCTTGCCAATTAGGTAATGACTCCAATAAAGCTGTCTCATTGTTTCTCCAGGGTGAGGGACCCCTTTCATCTTAACATACACTTGAGTCTTGAATAGTGGAAAGGGCCTATTGAAACTCATGCTCAGAGTGTTCATATTATGTGAATTCAGCTAATAGTAAGTTAGACTAAAATTCTAATTGTCCTGACTTCCAAGTCAATGTTCTTCCCTCCACCAAGCTCACTCTTACTGACCAGCTAAGACTTTGCTCCTATGTTGTGGGTTAAATAGGCTTTCGTGAGCTAGGAACCTAACTGCTTTTCTCTAAGAAAAGTAATTTCGAAGTTTTGCCTAAGAATTCAGACCTATTCATTCTCTCACCACTCTGCCAGTGTATCTGGCATAAATGAAAAATAGTATTTAATATAATTTAATAACTCACTTGAAAATAAACAGGACAAAATTTATTTATCAAACCAAAGCAAGTAATTTACATGGGTAGATTGATGATTGATTTTAACCGTTATTCTAGGGTGAATCTTTTACATGTATCCAAATTAACTACTTGCCTTCCATAAATATGTTACTAATGCTTCCTTAGTCAATCAGCTGCAAAGTTGCATACTATCATCTGAAGGAGTACAGAAAACCATCTTACTTCTGGTGGAGAGAGGAAAAAAAAATCTAACTACTGAGGTGGTAAATGACCAGCATATTTTCCAACAACAAAGTACGAGACAAACAAAAGTGGAAAAAGCCAGAGCTTTACTTGTAAAGATAGCAATTGAAGCCTTTCACACACTGTCCCTTTGCTTAATTACAGCAAAGCATTAGAAACTAATCACATCATTAAATGTGTCAAGTAAAATTATTTGATTGCAATACCATTCTCTCAGTTCTTTATAGTCTTTTTGCTTAGATAGTTTGATTTATCTGTTCACAATCTTTAATATAGATAAAGAAACAGTGCTGGCTTACATATTGGTGGCCAATTTATCCAGCACAGTTAGAGGTAGAGACAATGGAAGTGAGTATGACCAATTGCTGTACTTTCTGGTCAGCTAGTTCTAAAATTCTGAGAAAACATGATGGCAGACCTAGCTAAAAAATCATCAAATGAAAAAATTTTAACAGTCCTTCTGGACACCTAATTAAACTTAGTTTATAATAATGAAAGTCCATGGTTTTATTATCTAATGGATCTCTGAAAATGTGTTCAGAAGTTGAGGATGTGAAAGTTGAATAACTGTCTATTGTAATGTTCAGTTCTGCTCCTAGAGAATGAAGGTTTACACCCAATTATACCTCATGATTACAGACATATTAGTTATCTTTGATAACATGAGTCCAGTGTTTCAATCAAATGATTTCATATTCTTCTTGTGGTTTATGACACATCTAGTCAAATAGGTTATTCAATGAATATCCAATGAAGGTTTACGATTCGCCCACTTTTGACTCGGTACTCTGAATAATCTCTAAAATGTCTAAGCATATCATGTTCATAGGACCCTGCTTCTACTTTCATTTTTATGTTTTCCACTTATTTTTGTACAAGAATAAAATATTCAAATATTGCACAACAGTATTCTACAAATAAAGATGGCAACATTATTGGCTGGAAGGAAATTTTGCCATGTTGTTGAGCTAAATGCCTTTTAACTAGAGATTGCACAAAAATAAACATTTGCATCCAAAAGGCACTTTGGAGGCATTCAATATACAAAAAATAGATCTTTCCAATTCAAAAGTGCTAACAGGGAAACTATATAAATAATGGGAAGGGCAGCTCACAAATATAATTTCTTAGTCTCACTGTATCTCATATCACCTTATTTCTACATGAAAGAGGCAAGGAAATGAGATCACTGAAGGAGCACTTGTTGAATGGGTTCTATTTGCCAAGCACGATGCCAGGTAATTTGCACAAATACTTTCAAGATGGACACGGTTTATAGTGTATTTTGTCAGGAAAAAACCCTTAAGACTTGAATGGCTGTTAACTTCAGTAACAATCCTTGTTTGCTGAGCCACAGATGTCCTCAACTGGACTGAGAAATGAGGATGAGAGAGAACTTCTCAGCATTCATTAGAGAAGAACCTAAGAAAACTTAACTGGATCATTAATATCACAGCTTTTATCTACCTGAGTGAGATGGAGAACACATTTTTTTTCGTTCCATGAAATCCACCAGATTTTAGATATTTTAAAGTGTCTGACATTTTTATATATTTGTAAGTATGCTTGGTTTAAAGGTAATAAAAATAATGACATATTAAAGGCTCTACATTCTCTACACAAACCGACTGTCCAAGCCTACAGTAATAATAAGTACGTAAGGAAACAAAGAACCACTTCTATTATCTAAGTCTTCCTTCCTCTTCTGACCTTAAAGCAGGGGGAAAAGTCAAAGATATTCTCTCCTTATGGCCAGAACTAAGACTTATAAAAACAATAAATGGGATCCCTGGAATATTAGGCTCCTGGTTGCCATCACTTTTAGATGTTCCTTAAGAACATCATTGTGTTAAAAGAATATCAAAGTATAAATATCCAAATCGAGAAAACTATTTAATGTTCTCATTTCTGTGAGAGAGGGAAGAAAAAAAAAAGTCTAGAAAGCCAAATGTCAGTCATAGACTGAATTTCCACATTTGGGCCATTTCTTGAGGGAGAGGGATTGGCTCTGGGAAGATGGAAAGTACGGTGGCCCGCAAGGAGCAGGCTGAGATTCAAGATCCACCTGGTCCTCTAACCAACTGACTACCTTTACTTCCAGATTTCTGTGGAAGATTGGACTTGTTATATGTAAAAATGGATTATGACTACCCTCACTCTAAATTCTTTTCCAGTCTGTTGTACATGACCAGTCCTGACATTTAAACACTCTCCTGCATCTACAGCAAAAATGAAGAATTACTTAACAATGAGGACATTTATCATCTTACTTGATGTTACAGACCTTACATAATAACTACTTCTAGAAATTAAGCAGGGACTAGCAAACAGTAAGGTCTAATATAAGTGCATTCCAGTAAAATCACTTGTAAGGCACATTTCTAATCAATCTATTTAGGCTTCTGACACATCAAATTGAGGTAAGCATTCCAGTTAAGTCTTCATCTTTCAGGCAAAGATCAATATATTTGGCAATGATTAATAAAATCATTTGGTTTTTCAGTTCTTCACGCCTAAATGTTGTCTTCTTCAAGGATAGTGTAAACAAACAGGACCACAACAGTGTGAGAAGAGTGCTTGTTAAGGTCATCAGTCATGTCCACTGGACTCAATGTGAAGACATCTTTAATGAGCCAAAAATCACAAGTCTCAAAGTCCCAGATCAGGCAAGTTTTAGGAGATGGAATCAACGACCTCTTGGTGGAACAGGTGGAGGAGGAGGGAAGGTATCCCTAGCCGGAGGCCTGAAACAAAAAAGAAAAGTTAACTCTAGTTAACATTTACACTCATGAAGATTACTCTGCGCAGTTAATGTCACAGAACTGTACATCTGAAGATAGTTAAAGTAGTAAATATTTAGGTTACATTTGTCCCCTCTTTTTTAAATTTTGTATTGGTTGCTTATGACAGATTGAATATTTTTTTTACATTTTTTTATTTTATTATTTTTGTGTGAGTACCACCAAATCAGATCTGACTGGTACAGGAGGAGATTGTCCCTCCTTCCCCGGCAGAGCATCTGGTGGATTCGAACTGTGCGCCTCTGGGATTGTAGTTACAGCTTTTTAACACTAGGCCACCAGAGCTCCCCTAGATTGCATATTTTAATACAATAAAATTACTGAGCATATAAACTAACTTAATTAGTTCTTAGGTATCTCCAAACTGTACACCTTTCTCAATTAATGAAATCAAGCTTGAGTCTATCCATGTTAGCTGGGCTTCATGATTCTGCCTGCATGTTAGACTCACTTGTAATCAGTTGCCAAGAAGCCAATTCCAACTTGTGACAACCTTACATGTTCCAACGCAGACCTGTGTTTTATAGCATTTTTAATGGCTGTGACCTTTCTGGGAGTAGCTCAGTAGGCCTTTCTACGAGGGCATCTCTAAAAGGATTTGAACCACAAAACTTTTGACTGGAAATTGAGTGTGTTAATAACCGTTTGCCCCCAGCCATGTATTACTAAATGATCTCTGGAGCTTTTTAAAATACCAAGTCCCAGGCTCCATCCCTGATCCCTTCCATCATAATCTCCGGAGGAAAGGGCTTGAGTAGCAAATTTCTTGGGAGTGCTTCGTCTGCCACTTGTGGTTCTAACGTAGAGTGAGCCAGGTAGGAGAAGAGCAGTAGGAAGGGATCCTTTGAGAGAAGAACTGAGAATTACCAAAGTCAGCTTCTCATGGCAATTTCCTGGGATTCACAGTCAGATCCCTGCAAAGTGTGTTACCCACTCCACTTTTGGAGTTACTAGAAACTCTTTTCTGCCTTTTCATATTACTTTAGAAGAAACCTCAATCTCCAGAGAGGCTTGGGCGAGTCTGTTTACAGACAGGTTCAATGATTCCAGATAGCATTTCCATGTGTGTGCTGTGAAACCAATATTTAATTCTCTTGGAAGCAAGTCAAGAAGTCAAGAATGAAAAAAAAAAAAAAAAGAAGTCAAGAATGAGAGCTTTGTTCGGTGCTGTAATTGAACTGTGCTGCCCTGGAGTTGCGTGGTGAAGGATTGGATCAATCGATGAGCAAATATTTACTAAGCGTCTCCTGGATGCAAGTTTTGCATAGGTAAAGGAAGTGACTAAAGAGCTGAAAAAAGAGCTCAGGAACAAGGGATAACTACAGACATACAGACAAAGAGTAACTACAGATATCCTCAGGGGGGTCCTGCTGCCCTCAGTGAATGGATGGCTTGTTTGGTTGTCGCTGACTGACTGAGCTTTATCGAGCAAAAACAATGTCTTTTCATAACCTTGGCTTGCCCTCTGCACCGTGGTTTTAGAAAGCTGAAACACAGCCAGATGATACCACTTATTACCTGAGCAAGAGTTTACCAATTGCCACTGAGTCAATTGCAACCCAAGGAGACCTCATGTATGTCAGAGTAGAAGCACACAACACTGAATCTTTATGGCTGTGATTTTACCAAACCGGATTGCCAGGCCTTATTTCCAAGGTGTCTTCATGTAGGTTCGAACCACTGACCTCCCCATTAGTAGTGAAATGCTTAACTGTTTGCACCATCCAGGGACTCCTGAGAAAGTACAGGTATTTTTCTTTAACCCTTTTCTTTCTCTTGGTGTTTACTACTGTCCTGGGTATAAAACATAATAGCAGGCAAGACAGGCATGGATCTCACCTTTATGCTGCATCAAATGCAGTGGATGAGAAAGATAATATGCAAAATCAGTAAATGGCACTGAGTGTTTTGATAGGCGAAAGTTCAGTATCCCGGGGAACATACAGTGAAGATACGTATGCACTCAGCTGGAAGGTAAGTTCAACTTCTCTGAGCCTTGAATACCAAAAAGACGTTAACAGTACCTATACTGGAGTATCAGGTTCATAGGGTTTCTGGAGGCAAGCTATTTATGGACATGGATGACACTCCTGCTTCCAAGCTTGTTTCAACCAGGGAGCACCACCAAACACTGTCCACTGTGGGTAACAGTTATCACATTTGACACATCAGTGTCACAGTGTTCAGCTTCACAGAGAACACAAGTTACCTCTGTGCAGTAAGCAGACACACCAGGGCTATATGACCTAGAAGACTGTTTGAACAAAAACAATGAAAAACAGGCCCTAGGGCCGCAGATTAGAGTCACCCACCTTTGTCTTGGTTTGTCTCGGTAGCATTGTTTTTGGTCCACTAGGCCAACTGGTCTCTCTCTGTGTTGTTAAGTGCCATCAAGTCATAGGTGACTCATAGCAACTCATGGTGACCAGGAGAAAGGATGAAAGTCAAGCAAGTGTCGGGGACTTTTGTTCATAAGGTTGCTATGAGTTGCCTATGACTCGATGGTACCTAACAACAACAACAACATATTGGAGTGTTATATGAGGCTTGGAGTGACAAATGAAAAGAAGCTAGATCGCTTTTAGCTTAGAATAGGCATTCAAGAAGGTAATATTAATCATTATGATTAACAATCTGTTCTTAGCTTTTTTTTTTCTTCCCACATGTCCCTCACCAGCCTTTCATCTTAGTTTCTATTAGGCTGACTTCCTGCTGGCCCCTCTTCCTCTCTCTGCTGCCCAACTCTGTAACTGAGATGGGCTTAAAAGCATAGTATGTCAGTAATTCGGTCTGTAAGATTTAGCATGGCCCAAACGGGGATCGAACCAGTGACCTTGGCGTTATTAGCACCACGTTCTAACCAACTGAGTCAACCAGCCACTGTAATTTGTTCTGATGAACAAACTTTTGCTAGAATTTGGAAGTCTGATATCAGAAAAATGGATTCATGATTGTAGATGTATCAGAACTGGGGGGAGGGGGGGCTTTACACTGGAATCAACAGTCTAGTCTTTAGGGAGATGAACTCTCCAGGGCTCTCGGAGGCTGGAATTGGGGATATCATTTATCCAGCTTTCTTGTCCCTGTGGAGGGTAAAGTCTCACTGCTGTTGAGTTTGGGTCAAGAACTCACCAATCCTGACAATGGTTAACATTTTTTTAAAGCAGGACTGTTATTTAGTTGATATGCTCTCTTATGATCATATATATTGTTAAAATCTTTCCAAGCTTTCCTATTGCTGTGGTGGTGTACTGTTGAGTTGGACCAATTCTCAGCTGACCCTCCAGCAAGTTTTTGGAGGTAGTAAATGGCAGGGGAGGAGACTGTCCATCCTTCTCCCATGGAGCAGCTAATGGGTTTGAACTTTGTGCCTTTGGGATTGCAGTGCAGCTTCTTATCACTAGAGCTCCCTACTAGTTAGTAAATACCCTCCTTCTCTTGTCTTCTAAGAGTTCTACAAATCAGGAAGTCTCCAGGAGGAAGTTCGGATTAGATGGTACACACACCATATGGTATTTAGATGTAATTATTTTTCTTTTTTTTTT